AGTGACGGGCGGCCTCGCCGCGGCTCGGAGCCGGGCCGGGGCCTCTCTGGCACACGTTATCCCCATGGGGTGACAGCTCTCCGCGCTCACACCGCCCAATGGTCCCATCCTCCTCCACCCCACGAACGCAGCCAGCCCTGGGCAGGGGTGGGGGGGCGAGCAGGAGCACACGGTCACCGCAGGCATGGCAGTGGGGACAGGGATGGGGACGGGAGATTTGCGGAGTGGTGCAGAAATGGGGGCTGCTCCCATTCCAGCAAAGCTATTTCAGGCAGCGCAAGGGCAATGGGGGTTGGCTCCAGCGGATGAACCCAGGTCCCCAGCTCCCACCCCAGCACTCACCCCTAGGTCTCACGGTCACAGATGCCACCCGGCTGAAGGTCTCCTGCCCCACGCTCAGCGTCACCTTGCACCTGAATTCCACCCCTTCTCCCACATCCTTCCCAGCCACCGGCAGCGTGGACACGATGTCATACAGCTCCTCATCAGTCTCTGTGTCATCGAAGGCTGCCTTCTCCAGCACTTGGTCCCCCCAATACCAGGTGACCTCCACCTCTGTGATCGGGTACACGTTCCGGGCCGAGCAGCGCAGGCTGTCGGGCTGCCCTGGGTCCACCTCCAGCTGCAGAGCGTCCGGGAGAGCTGAGAGAGGAATTGCGGCGTCAGGCAGCGATTTCTGGCACCGCTGCCCAGGAGGTGCAGGACTTTGCCGGGGAGGTGGTGAGGGACGGGCTGGGGGATGCTCACCGTAGACCCTCAGGATGACAGTGTGCTGGTAGTGCTGCCCGTGGCAGCTCCCCTGGCAGATCTTGGTGCCCTCCGTGGCAACCACGGCGCTGCTGATGTGCAGGACGCTGTGGGTAGGGGAGGAGGTGACGCTCCCCAGGTTGGTGTCCAGCCCCTTTCTCTGCACCGTGCCCCCCGCGCAGGCCAGCGAGCAGTTCAGCTCTACCGAGCCCCCGTACCGCACCACCGGCTCCCATGGCACCACCACCATCTTGTCAGCGGGTCGCCCTGGCGGAGGAAGGAGGAAAGCGGGAGATTCGGTGAAGGGTTCCCACACTGCTGGGAAGCGGGCAGTCACACTCAGGTGCTGCGTAAGCTCCTTCTCCATCG